CTGCAGTTGAGGTGGGGGCTGTTCTGCGTAGAGGGGTCGTTGCACTTGAGCTGGGTGCTGCACTGTGTGAAGTGGGGATTGTACTTGGAATGGGGGCTGCAGTTGAGGCGGGGGTTGTTGTGCGTGGAGAGGGTGTTGCACTTGAGGTGGGGACAGTTCTGTGTGGAGAGGGTGTTGCACTTGAGGTGGGGGTTGTACTGTGTGGAGTGGGGATTGTACTGTATGGAGCGGGGGTTGCACCTGAGGTGGGGGTTGTACTATGTGGAATGGGGGTTGCACTTGGAATAGGGGCTGCAGTTGAGGTGAGGGCTGTTCTGCGTGGAGAGGGCGTTGCACTTGAGGTGGGGACTGTTCTGCGTGGAGAGGGTGTTGCACTTGAGGTGGGTGTTGTTCTGTGTGGAAAGGGCGTTGCACTTGAGGTGGGGACTGTTCTGTGTTGAGAGGGTGTTGCACTTGAGGTGAGGGTTGTTCTGCGTGGAATGGGGGTTGTACTTGAGATACACTATCGATTTCTGATAATGAATCCGGTCGATCCTCAACAGGTTGGTATGGAGATTGGATCAGTGCCTCGGGAAAGGGATGTACTGCGCGTGGCTCATCTTGTTCTACTGTGGCCTCCGGCACTCTTTGTTCTGTGGGAATGCTGGCTATGTTGATGGCTTCTTCAAGAAAGGTGGACATGATATTGTGTTTCTCTGTGGGCAGGGCTGGATTAGAAATGGTACCCAAAATGTTTCCTGTTTCAGTAAGCGTTTCATACACACTTTCTTGTGCTGAGACTTCCTCAAATTCTCCCTGCATCTTTAGCTGCTCAAGTTTACGTTCCTGCTCGGATATTAACTGAAAATATTGCATTCTTTTTCCTAAAGCTGCTTTTCTTGCTTTAAGGTCAACTAAGGTGTTTATATGGCTGCTGTTGCTACTACTTCGTCGGGATGTTGTAGAAATTGTTTCTTGCTTTTGCTGACTAAACTTCACTGCATATTCTTGAGCCCAGCTCTGGGTGCTCAACAATTTATCGGACAGAAATGTACGCATTTCTATGACTTCGCGAATTTCATTCTCATCTAAGGATAATTTCAACCATTCATCAAGGGCCTTGCTAACAAAATTCATTTTCCCTGATAACAATGTTATTTGTTTATTAAGTTCAACAACACCATTGAAATCTGCAATATTTTTCTCAAAATTAAACAGTTCTTTCAAAAATTCTTCCTTGATATCGAGGGCTGCTTTTCTTTTCAACGAACAGACATATTCTCTACCTTTCTCTGTCATTTTACGCTCTCGGTTTCTTGTGCTGTAGTTGCCTGTTCGCAGGCATCTTGTTTTGCATCGTGTAGTATAGCTTCGCTCGGCTCTACGAGCGGGTTTTCGATATTTTCGCTCGTTTCGTGACTACGAAAGCTCATTGTAGAATATTCTCGCTACTATAGACAAGTCTTTGACTGTATCTACCGTCTTGGTAGTGTAAATACGACACAGGTCTTACGGCTCGTATGGATTTATGGCCGATAACCGATCAAGCTATCTTATAGTTATAGATACACAACAACTGTGACGACAGGACTTTAAAAGTGTACTATATTTATCTTCTACGAACCGTCAAACTACAATATAAACAAAATAAGCTAAAATTACAAAAGGAAGATTCAAAATATACAGCAAAATATAGCAGTACTTACGACTTGTGTGCCGACTGTAAGCATGCCACTTGGCGAATCTAAGTTCCTAAAAGCGGGCGACTAACATGCATAGCAACCCAAGATAAACGACTGAGAGGGCGTTACAGAAACAATTGCTGACCCCCGGCCTAGATCACATATTCCGTGCCTAGTGGACTGGTCATATAAACAGGCCCTGATAGATTCTGAAACTACATTTGGAACATTTTTAATTTAGCCATAATCTTGTGCATTACAAGAATACCTGAGCAACAATTAGCAGGGGACTGGTGCTGGGGGGGGGGGGGTGTTCAAACCCCTCCCCCCTCTCAGCCATCAGATAGTCGGCAAAATATTGAGTCCCAGTTGGCAAAACATGTATTTGGATAGGAAGAAAAAAATTAAAATATTTGGTGGCACTGATTAATATAATGAAAAATATAATTTAGCTAAACTGTGGAGAAATTTATGGAAACATTAGGGAAAAATGAAAATGTAAATGAGATGACAGATGTTGATCTGCTCTTCCTCCCCACTTGCCAACAATTTTTGAGAAAAGAAATATTAATTAGTGGTTGTAGTGATTCAGTACAATTCACTTACACCCCCCCCCATTCAAAGAGGTCTAGCACCGCCCCAGTCTTCAGTAACTTATTTACTTTACCATAATACTTATACATTCATTGGCTGGGAAACCTATTGCCAATTACAGCGGACCCAAAATAATGATCCGGTCAAAATAATAATCTGGCCTTGGCAGCATGTTGCCTGGTTGGGGTAGAGTACTTTATGTGGTGAATTTCTTAGCTTGCACAGCCAGAATTCGGGCAACGGATTTATCGTGCTCAGCCAGGATAGTAGCAGCATATCAACAATACTGGCAAATGTTGTTTCCCGTTTACTCATTTAGCCACGTCATATGAACAGACTCCTGAATTGTGACCGGTGAGCCAAATCAAGTAAGAAACAATGAATTTCCTATGTCCAGAAATTTTGATATCTGAACTGCTAAGCAATATTGAACAAAATTATTCTGTCTCAAATTCATCTCGAAATTGATCATCTAATTTCAGGGCCGTAGCAACCGGGGGGGCTGGGGGGGGGGCTGCAGCCCCCCCAATAATTTGCTAATAATCATTCTTTTTTCAAAATCATGCAAACTTTATCATTTAATCTGTGACAAACTGCAAAGAATGAAGATATTACTCATACTCCAGATCGTTCCTCGCGTAGAAATTTTAGCTGAATTTCTGTCGCGCATTTTCAAAAAAATCCCACAAAATCTGCACATTTTTGATGAACTAATGATTTATTTTGTCTTTTGCGTGTTGGGTCTTGCGAAAGAAAACTCTGAAAATGCCATTTCAGACCATCTAGAGACTCCAGATTTTCGAAATTTTCTCAAATGTTCTGCCTTCATTTCCGCGCAAGTGCCATTTACGACGAAAATTCCCGCCGCGCATTTATAATACTACAGTCTGGCCCATACTTTCCTGTAAATTTCGACATACTAAAGCGCTGTTTTCTGACTATCAGAATTCTGTTAAATCTTCCTCCAAAGTCCAGGAAATGGCATTTTAGAGACTCTAAATTTAAAAATTTCCTCGGGCCTTCGGCCCTCGCTTTCAGCCCCCCCCAATCGAAAAGAGCTTCCTACGGCCCTGAATTTGCTTATCAAAATTAGGACTCCAAAACCAAAGAATATGCTGTCAATTAATCCAGGATTAAACACAATGAAGACAAGTGTTATTGTCAGACAAATGAGAATATTCATACAACACCATGTTGCTTCAACACAAATACGTTGACACATTATCCAGAGATCAACCACCAACTCGACGAGAAACTGGGCAAGAAACAGTTATTGAGCTATTATAAATTATTAATCAAATAAACACTTGCCATAGGTTAGCTTAGGTTCGAAGCTCCGTAGTCCAAATATTTCGTGAGTTACTTTAATTAAGTTCATTTATATCAACAAAAATTTTAAAATTCCCTCTGTATTTCTATGCGCTACTAGTACGGTATATTTATCGCCATATTACAGATTTCCTGTGATGAAGGCGTTTTACGCATTCTGATTGGCTTAGAGAGAAAATGTAAACAATTGAGCTGATTGGTCTAGAACGGCAACTTTTAATAGCCAGCCTAGTTGTTCGGTGATTGGTCGAAATCGTGTGCGTGGACACGCGCGAGTCTTCCTGTCCAGAAGCCGACACCTTTTTGGCGCGAAAATTGTCACTGTTCATTGACTTCATTCGATCTTGACAAAGCTTCGAGTAAAGATAAGATAAGATAAGATAAAACTTTATTTGACTACGCTGGCCACTTCAACCGGAGCTGCTTTCCAAATGGGGCGTAGATAAATTATGTAACAAAAATATATAAAATACAAAATCACTAAGAATATTAAGAACTACGAATTCAAATACATATTACAAAACAAATGGTATATAAAAGTCAAATAGCTAATTTGTCAGACTAACAGAGGAAATATTTCTATTGAAAGAATTTAAAGATTCGCTGTTTCTTACTTGTTCAGGAATGCTATTCCTGATTTTAACCCCACTATATCGAAAACATTTTCTGCCATACTCGGTATTTGGTCGTGGCAGAAAGAGAGACAAATTTGAACTTCGTACATTATAACTGTGGATATGGTTAGAATTCTGGAACATTGATGAGAACCTCGATGGTGCCAAATTATTGACAACTTTAATCATGAGACGGGCCATAATAAGTTTTCGCCTTTCTTCCAAGCTTATCCACCCTAATTGATCGAGGGCCAGTTGAGATTGCCCAGGCTCATCTTTAAAGTTCATTATAATTCTAGCACATCTGTTGTGAAGATTTTGTAGTCGTTCGGACTGATCTCTATTAATGGAATTCCAAAATTCACAACAGTAGTCGAAATGGGGTTGGACAAGACCATACTAGACTGACTTCAAAGTATCAGAATTAGTGAAATCCTTTATCTTTTTCATGGCACTTATTCCAGAAGACATTTTTTTGAAATTTGGTCAATATGATTGTCCCAAGATAAAAATTGATCAATTTTGACTCCAAGAGTTTTAGTAACTTGAACCCCGTTAATTGATTCATCCCTACTGAATAAAACACGCAGTTGTTCTTCCAACGTGTTAATATTGTGGCGTGATCCAATCAAAAAATATTCCGTTTTGACAAGGTTATGTCGAGAAAGCCTGTTTGATAGAAGCCATTCTCTGATATTATTGAGATCAGCATTAACAGCCACCCCAGCTTCCCTAATTGATTTACCGGACACTGTAATTTTAGTATCGTCGGCGAACATACGTGCTGTAGAGTGTTGTAAACAGTTCGGTAAATCATTGATATGAATTAAAAACAGAAGTGGACCCAAAATTGAACCCTGAGGAACTCCATATTTTAAATATTTTAATGTGAAAAGTTCCCCATTTACTTGACATTGCTGAGATTGATCTGATAAGTATAAGATTTGAAAAGCATAAGAGGCGTATTCTTAATACCATATAACTCTAGTTTAGCCAGTAAAATGTCGTGGTTTACCGTGTCAAATGCTTACTTTAAATCGCGAAAAACGGCAAGATTATATAAACCACGATCCATATTATACACATTCATCAGTACAATCTAGCAATGCAGTGGACGCGGAATGAAAGCGCCTGAACCCAAACTGCTGTTCAGACAATAAATTATTGGTGGTAAAATATTCGTATAACTGACCATACAAGATCTTTTCAAATATTTTGCTAACCGGCAAAATTGATATTGGCCTATAATTGTCTAAAACGGAGCGTAAACCCTTCTTATGAAGCGGTACAACTCTAGTAATTTTCCATTCAGACGAGAAAATTCCCATCCCAATAGAAGAGTTGAACAGATTGGTCAAAGATGGTGTAAATACAGAAGCAGAATATTTTAGAATTTTAGCCGGTATTTTATCACATCCAGTAGATTTAGAGATAGACAAATTGTTAGGCAGCCTCAGTAAAAACCTGTGATTCGTTAACAGGATGCAAAGTAAATTCCAAAGTATTTAGATTATCACTCATATACCTGCCAAAATTTAAATTTTGAGAGTGTTCAGAGCAAGAGTCTCCAATTTTACCACCAATACTTGTAAAATAGTCATTAATACAATTAGCCATTCTCATAGGAGAAGTAATTGTATCATTTCCTAGCTTTAGTTCATTAATCGTTGTGTCCTTCTTTTCTCTACCACAGTGTGTTTCTCCCAAGGAAATCAAGGATATCATTAATCGTCCTCCAAGCCTGTTTAGGATTATTTCATAGATGTTTGTCAAATTTGTTTTTGTAGTAAACTTTCTTAGCTTCACGCAATGCAACGTCGACACTATTCCCATGTTTATACTGGTTCCAGACATAACTTAAATCCGACGAAATTGCTTTTCTTTTCAAACGGTCCCTTTCAAACATTTTGTTTCTGACATTCCTAGTAATCCATGCCACAGATGTTTTATTTCTTACCCGTCTTTCCATAACAGGGTCATGTTTATCAAGAACAGTCATAAAAAGATTTTTCTAACATGCTCATTTATTATCAATATCAGTTTCTCTGTCAACTAAATACCACGGTAAGTTTATAAGGTT